TTTTTTTTTTTTTTTTGGTCTAAGTAAGGTATCTTAAAAATTCTTCCTCTTTTGTAGGATGGAATGCTGAAACACAAAGGTACATATGAAATTATCTCTCCTGAAGATATAGGACTTGAACGATCCAATGAAGCTGGTATTGTCCTTGGAAAGCTTAGGTAGGATGTTGAACTCATCAAATATTTTATTTCTTCTTTTGGCCTTGTAGATATCTGTTGTAATTTGTCTTCCAATTCTTGAAATGTATACCTTAGTTTGTCCATGTTTGAAAAGAAGAATATGTTTCAATTTTTTAGAATTTTATTGATCAAAAGAACTTGCAAATATAACCATCACTAGTATTTCCATCATTAATTGCTATTGGCTGGATGTAGGTTTGACAAACTTTTGAAAATGGTAGTTTGCACATGGCTGTAGCGCAACTGTATAGGAAGTGACTATAGGCATTTTACTTTGACGAACCATATAGAATCCTGAGAGAGCTGAAAATATTCGTCACTCTTGCCTGAACACTTTACTTCCGACTTTTACTGTGGTAAACTAGATTTAAAATTCTAAATTTGGTGAGGCATAATTGCACCCATAAGGAAAATTCTACAAAATTATAGTGACATGTATTCCTTTTATTCTTCAATAGAAGGCAAAGAATTGTTCTAAAGTGATTTTCCTTGTTTTAGCATTTAAATTCCACTTCTTTGTTAGTTGTTTTGGGCTCTCATAAATGTGCAGTCAAGGGTTTTGAGATATCAACCACCTTTTTGTATGAGAAGATAAGACTGTATCTCTCGATTCTGTGCCTGTTGTACTTTGTTTTGTATTCTATTGAATTGGGTGTTATTATAGATATTTTCTTGTTCTGAGCTTCTTTATGCGTTAGCTTTTTTTATATCTCATTTAATTATTTTCTTATTTGAAAATTTTTGTGCTACAGTGGACGCCATGCTTTAAAGGACCGGCTGAAAGAGGTAAACAATGATTTAGATTTTTGTTAGGTTGATTAAATCATCTTTTACTTTCTGATTATGAATTAATACTTTTTTCTTCCTGATTTTTCAGCTTGGTTATGAACTCAATGATCAGCAGCTTGGGAATATATTCTGGCGTTTCAAAGCTGTAGCTGAACAAAAAAAGGTGACATAGGAACTTATGATAATATCTGAGTGGCTTTCTTTTATAATTGAGTCTGTGATATATTATTTATGCAAATGTGTTTGATGGTGGCTGTAAGAATTTAATTATTAGTTTGTAGAATTGGTTAAGATTAAGACAGTAACTTTTATATAACAAAACTAGAAAAGAGTGTTTTTTGAGGCTTTATAATAATTATAGTGGAGCAGCATATGTTTAAGACTCATGCTTGTCAAGTTTCCCTGTCATATATTTACTGAGGCAAATGCTTCGGTGAACCGCTTTCCCTAGGTGAATGGTGTCCTTGTCATTTTCAATATGGGTGTTCAAAGAGTACATCAGCAGAATTACAGAGTCATCATTTGACATCTCAGTATAGTGAAGCCTTATAATCTTTTCCTGGTGATAAAGAAAGTGGACCATTTCTGCAAAGCTTTGCATGTAAATGCAAACCTGTTTCAAATTTTTTTTCTCCTTGAAGTAAATACTTTCCTTACTGTTATTTCTTTTTACTGGTGTTTCAGAGAGTTACTGATGCAGACTTAATAGCATTAGTATCAGATGAAGTTTTTCAGCCAGAAGTTGTGTGGAAGCTTCTTGATCTGCAGGTAAATTTCTTTCTTGTTTCTTCATTCTATTTGATTGCATTTTTGTTGTAGAAGTATTTTTAATTGGATGGTCCTATTATTGAGGAGTCAATTATTAGAGAAAAGATCTGGACATGTGGAAAGATTTTTGAGCATATCAAGGAAGCACAAATCAAGGAGATGACAGAATTTGAAATGATAATGATAACAAGGGTTATTATCACCAACTTCCCCCTAGGTTTGAGTTTATATCACCAATACCCTATGCATGCAGGAATACTAACCTCCCTTGAGGTTTAATGAAACATGTATTAAGTATTAACTTTCACTAAGCCCGGTTAACAAACGGCAGTGGTTGAAAAATAAAGGGTACATGCGTAATTTCTCTCTGAAAATTTGGAAAAAGAATATTGACTTTGGAGTCTCAAATTCTCTCAACAATATAGTGAGCTATCGTCTTTGGTCTCTAAAAAAATGAGACTCATGTTTGTGCTTAATCTCAAATGGGTTTCTAATGTTGGCTCATTAAAGGGTTGTGGTGGGCACACCATGGGATTTGATGCTTTGGCCGCCCTTCTTGCCATCAACCACTTTGAAAGATTCATTTCAAGCTTAAAGTTCCAAAGAGACACCATGAATGGGTCAACTTGCTTCTGTGACTTGTTTGTCACTAGCTGCCAAAGTGGAGGAAACCCAAGTGCCCCTTCTTTTGGATGCAAGTTCATATATTATTGATTTGCAATCTATGTGTTTGTTAAAATACCACCTCTCAACTCTTTTTGTGTGTTCTTCAACTTGTTATTCATTTATTAATATAGGGTCTTGTATTGTGTTGTGTTTTCAAAGTGAGGTTTTGTGCTTAATGATATTTGTTAATAAATGTTGCGTTTGTCATTTGTGTTGTGTTTATTTAACTTGTTTTTAATCATGGATGTAAGGTTATGTGTTATATTTAGGTGGAGGAATCAAAGGATGCCTTTTAGGCTAAGACTATACAAGGAATGAAGCTTTTGGTATTGTCTACTCTAAAGTGACACCAATTTCTTAATTTCAGCTGTGAAAATTCAAATGATTTATAGGCTTGGGCATCATCAGTCTCTTCATCACCTTAGCCTCTATCGATAAAAGCTTAGTCCATGTTCAACAGATGCAATTGCCTTCACTAAATCATGCATTTGTATATGTACTTGATAGTTTGAATGACCTGATGCCTAGAAATGTAGGTTACAACTACTTTTTACAATTTCTAGTGTACATAGGAGAAGAAGAAACTCAGCCTATAAATAAGCAAAATATTTTACCATTGCAATGGCCAATCAAATATGTCCAGTAGCGTGACTTTTCATGTTAGACAATTGTTTGTAATTAAACATTATAGTAAGGCTAGTCCTGTAACACATTACTTATAGATTGAACTTCAAGGCCAATGTTAACATCTCATACTTTCTGTTAAGAATTTCTGTTTGTGGAGCTCAGAGGAGATGAATGCATATTTTGCAAAATCTCAGGGGAGCTAAGTCAGGATTTCTCATATTTATGGGGTGTTGGTGATGTTAACCTGTGGATAAGTAGGTGATAATAACCTTAATAATAGTAGTAGTTGAATTGTTATTATTGTTTCACCCTCCTTTCTCCATATTGAATTGTTTTTATTCTACATTTCCCTGTCTATGAGTTGATTGTAATCAAGGCAATTTCATAAGTTTCTGTATTTTGCACCAACAAACAGGTTACTTGTGGAACCCTTGGTCTTTCTACAGCAACTGTTAAGCTCATTGGCGCTGATGGGAAAGAGCATGTTGCTTGTTCTGTGGGAACTGGGCCTGTTGATAGCGCTTACAAGGCTGTTGATCTCATCGTAAAGGTTTGATATGAGTAATTTTTTTTTTTTTTTGTCTTATTTGAGTTTTGGGTATCATCAATCTTGTTTTCTACCTAACCTATGACATAGCATACCTGTGTTAGCATTCTTTCTAGCTGACTGTTAGTAGTTCTTTAAGGTACTCTTCTATATTTTCTGGAAAAAAAAAAAAAAAAAAGTGAATTCAAGGTATTGCTTTTAAACTTTATTCGTGTAATGATGAATATGAGCTCTTGATACTTGCAGGAACCAGTGACTCTTCTTGAGTATTCAATGATTGCAGTTACTGAAGGCATTGATGCAATAGCCACCACTCGTGTTCTAATTCGTGGAGACAATAATCCCACATCATCAACTAATGCTCTAACTGGTGAAACAGTTCAGCGAACATTCAGGTACTGGATGTACTATTGTTTCTCTCTCTTACTTAGTGTATTCCTCCTGATTCATACCTCTTTAACTCTTTTTATCTTCTTTTGGTATCTCCAGTGGAACAGGAGCAGGAATGGATGTTGTTGTCTCTAGTGTCAAGGCATATGTTGCTGCTGTGAACAAGATGTTAGGTTTTCAAGATCAGTTGCCATCCAACGTTTCTGAAGAAAGAACTCCCGTGACTGCTTGAAAAGTGCGGAACTCCACCTGATGTGCAGCAAAATTTACAAATTAGGATCAAATCTCCTTGTTGCAGAAGCATAGAGCGAAGCTCCCTTGCGCTTGCTTATTATCACACCCACAGAGCTAAAGGTGCTGCATCAATCTGCTTCCTTGTACAAATTTTTTAAGAAATAATTTTGTTCATAAGCCTGAACATCGGTAGTGAGTTTGGTTTACTTAAACTTTAGTTTAATCTGTGTATCATTTCTGAAAAACTCAAAACATTTTCTAGATTAGTATACAATGTGTTTGCTCTTTAAGTTCAAGGGGGTAAATTGATATTTTAGATACGTGTAAATTTTTTTTTTTTTTTTAATTTTTATTATGACCGAGGGTGTTTGGGCCAGTTGGTGCATACTTCAACTAATCATCTGTGACTCTAGAACCACCGATCGGATACAAGCTCCAATGGTCATCTCTATTAACGATTGTGGGGACTCAAATTCGGAAGATCATGTAAACTCATATTCTCGTTTGTTCTTTTACTATTAAACCATTCAATGGTGGTTGTTACCGGTAAATTGTTATTCATTGAAATATCAAGAAATTATAAAATGATATTTACAATGAGTCCCACTATATTTATTCATCAGTTTTTGTAATAAATTGATATGATTTACTATATAAAAAAAATGGGGGAGGTTATATAATTTGTCTCAGTTAAAAAATTATTCAAAATTGATAAGAATAGTATGAATAAGTTTCTTTTGTAGGACCTTTGTTTTAAAAGTAAGATCGGACCGGTTGCTCCAACCGGTTCGATCAGGTGTCGATTTTATGTCCAGTCCGAATCAATATAAAACCCGCTATTAATTAAAAAACAGTTTAAACTCGCTATTAAACCGGATGAACAGTGCGAACCTCTCGATTGAACCGGGCCGCATGGTAATTCGAATCAATGTTTAAATGAAAAAAACCCTAAATCTAAGTCTTTTTCATGCAACTCCACTCTCTTCAATCTCTCAACTCTCTAAAATTTCAACTCCTTTCTCAAAGTAACTGCACTTAGTCTCAATTCAATCTCTCAACTGAATCTCAACTCCATTCTCCCTTGGACCCTTGCTTGACGACGGTAGCACCTACCTCGCTGGATTTCGACGACGATGCACCTCCCTTCTCCTTTGCTCAACGACAGCGGACGACAACGCCTCCCTCCTTTGCTGGAATCATCGATGACATCACTTCTCTTGCTCAAAATCGACGAAGACGATGCCTCTCTTTTTTGTAAAGATATTTTTCCACTGTCTTTATTTATGCATAATTTGTTCACTGAATTTGTATGTAAAAAACACTTGCACCAAATATTTTATTATTGATTATTATGTATTTTATCATTTAATTTGTAATGGATGAACACATCATGTTTGGAGACTTTGGATTGTAATTAAATTATGTTGGGATTGTTATTGAATTTGAATTGGATAGTAATTAAGTTGGTATTCTCTTATTGAAAATCTGAAATTTTTCAAAAAAATATATTTTTTTTTACAGTGCTGATGTCACTGGTCCAACCGGTCGGTCTAACTGGTTGGACTTGATTGGACCGGTTGACTAGTGACTTGGGCAATGAAGCGGTTGTCCTCCGATTCGGGTTTTAAAACAACGTGTAGGACGACATATTTATAGGAATTAAAATTTATCAGTGGTAAAATAAAATGTATATTTATGTATTTGAATTCTCTTCTGATATGAACAAAATACAAGATTGCGATTAACTAACTAATTCAAGGACATACACATATACTTATTAATGCACACGTGTTATGTTATTAGTAGGGGTGGATAAGGTTGAACCATACTGTGTAAATTTCTTATTATATCATACCGTGTTTTATCAGTTTTCTAGTAGAGGTTTTTATGATTTTTTTATGGGTTTTTGGTAATTTCAAGGGCATTTAAAAAAAAATCAATGAATTAAAAAAATAAACTGTTTGCTCTGAATAAGCCAAAAAATAAAAAACTGTACCATATAGTATGGTTCATAGAAAACAAATTTAACGTTTTTTTTTTTTTTTTTTTTGTGATAAAAATTTGTATTATACCAAACCATTCGGGTTTTTGATTCGGAGCATTTTCACGGTTTTTTTGTCTACCCTAATTATAAGATCCCAAGTTAAAATCAAATTTGTCATAAAGGATGAAGGATAAATTTATACATTATAAGTACGTAAAACGATTAACGAAGAGAATTGATATGAAATTGAATATTATTAATCAAATCATTTTGGATTTTATGACAATAAATTACTTGTACAGAACAAAAAGAATAAAGAAGTTGAAATTGGTCATATTTTGAGAATAAAATATTGACTTTTCTGAGACAATTCCCCTATAAAAATGGATGGACAAAATCAACAAAACATACATAAGTTGTCCACTTGTCGTACCCTCATTGGACAACACCAGATAAATACATATTTTATTAATGTTCTTCCAGCTTGTTGCCAACAATTCCTACAACAATTTAAGTCCATATTATATATATAATTATTAATTTAAATTACATTTCCCCCTTGAGGACCCTTCAATTTTAGAAACTAACCCCACAATCTCAAATAGAGTTTTGTCAATTATATGGATAATATAAAAGACATTTTAAATAAACAGGTAACAAGTCTTGATCAAACGATTGACCATTTTATATTCATGTTTTTAATTAATATAGCAATTGACTTGATGATTTGTCTTAAGGTGAAGTAGTTCAATTGTCATGTCATTATATTAAATAAAATTAGTATAAACAATAGTATAATAATTTAATATAATTTTCGTATAATCGTTAACAATAGACTTTCCATCAATTTTATATTATATCATTATTTTGATAATCATCTACGGGTTATTTCTTAATTGTGAAAGACGCTTTCTACTTGTATCATTTATAAATAAACCAATGCTTAAATAGATTGAATATCATGTTTACAAATATGATATTAATAAAATTATATTACTAAAAAAATGGGTTACTTTTATAATATTATCTAAATTTGAATCTTAAACAAGGGTCCAATAAATGTGTCCTTAAAGATTATTATATATATGGTAATTGATAAAGTTTTTTTTTTTTTTTTTTTTAATTGCCTAAAGATACTTCATAGGAGAAATTAAAAAGTAAATGTTATTATTTATTTATTATATTATCATCTTTAGTTGTCAAGGTTTTTTACTCTTTAGTTGACAGAATTTTTTTTTTTTTTTTTTTGGTGTGTGTATATAGTATATTTGGGAAGGAAATAAATGTTTCATTTCTTACTATAAATAAAATCAGCTTTGCCTTATTATTTTAAGGGTATTATGGGTATGGAAAATAAGTTAATTTCTTATCTTGTTATACATTTTTTTTATTATTATTTATATAGGGGTTTTCAAAAGGAACTCATATTTTGAAAATTCGCGATTATGATTTTTTCTTTAGTTCTATGAATAGATAATTAATTTGAAATTCTAATAAACATAATTTAAAAATTGTCTGTTTGATTTGTGATATGAAATATTTTTAGAAATTATAATGCAATTTAAAATTTGAGTTGGATCCTAATATTTTTAATTTAAGCATATCAAACTAAGATTTTTTGTCTCTTATTTAAAAAACAATAAACTATTTTAAAATTTATATCAAACAGCCCTGGATTCTAGTTATGAGAATAGATATATCTTTAAGTTTTGTTTAAACTTTAAAAGTGCTTTTCTTGAAAGTGCACTTTCTATAAAAAAATAAAAAATATAAAAAATCTAAATATTTTTTATTATAAGAAAATTTTATTTTTTTTATTTTATTCCAAATCCTTCAACTTGTCAAAAAATTTATATGAAATAAGGTAGGATTAACAACACCTATGTTATAAGCAAGATACTACTTTCGGCTGAGGGGCCATTTGCACTTAAAAATAAATTGTTTTATACACCAATTTAAATAAAGCACAATGTAACTACTATAAATGTAGTTTTAATCATTTTTTATTGTATTTCTATCAAATTAGTTTAATTTATTGATTTGTATTGAAATCATGAAAAAAAAATTGCAAATCTTATTTTGATATATAATTAAAGTGAATTAGCTGGTGATTTTTTTTTTTTTAAAGTTGAATATATATGAATATACAACTTTGATTGATATGTTGTTTCGTTTTTTTTAATGTCTAATTATAATATTGTGTGCGTTTGTTTTTATATTGTATAACATCTTAGAAATGTATTTTGATACATTTTTTCTTATTAAATAAAAAATAATTTTATAATATACCAAATTTATGAAAATTAAAACAAAACCAAATGCATATAAATTATAAATAATTATGTTATTATACTGTTTAATGTGATTTTAAAGTACTAAAAAAAATAAAAGAAGACCAAATATACACAATTCAAAGGGTTTGTTAAACTTTTAATTATATAAATCTAATAAGGGTATTGCTGACAAAAGAAAATAATATTGATTAAGATGTTTTAATTTAGATAAAAACCAATTATTTTAGCTTTTTGCTTATATTGATAAACAGACTTAGTTAAAAAATAAATAAACCTAAAACATTTTATCTACTAAAATTAGTTACATCAGACTTCAGATCAAATATTATTATTATTATTATCAATCATTTTTTTTATATAATTATTAAAAAATCAAATTTAATAGTTTGTAAATTCATAGTTATAATTTGTGAAAAGACAATGGTCGGAGTTTGACTCACTTGTTTAAAAATTGTTGGCTCAACCTATATTAATCGATGGGTAATACTACGCTAAAAAATTATTCTCACTAATTTCTCTCACAAACTCAACGGTGTCACGTAATGGGTATCGTCTGTCCAAAATAGGTCTCACTTAACCAATTGTAAACTGACACGTCGCGTTTTGTAATACCACATTTAGAAATATGGTAGGAACATTTTATAGTCATAGTGATATATTAACTAGTTTATAGAGGAATTCCATAAAAGTTTCATAGGGGCAAAATAGTCTTCACACAAAATCACATGTTCAAATGAAAGGTGAGTATGATAAATATAGTATTAAATGTGCTAGCGATGAAAATAGAGTGTTAGAAAGATAATGGAAATAACACGTGTGTGATGCCAAGATAAATACGTGTTTGTAAAGTAATAGGAAGAAATTAAAGAATAAAGGTAAAATGGTCTTTTCACTCTCAACTAGATGAAAGAGTGGGAGTGAAAATGTAAAGAACATGTGTTAAATCCATTGAAAGTGAGGGTATATTGGTAAATGCACGTATGACATAATTGGAATTATCATTAAAGTGCAAGGGAAAATGGGAATATATTATATATATATA